GTTATAAGACCTGAGAAAAGAATTATTTCTGTACGTTTGGGGCCGTTATAAGACCTGAGAAAACAATTATTTCTGTACGTTCGGGGCCGTTATAAGACCTGAGAAAAGAATGTAAGAAAAGCTAAATGTTATAATGCTATATTTTGTGGACCGTTACCACATTTTCTTCAATTAAAGCACAGATTTTAACGTTGTAAAGTTAGGTTTCTCGTTTACAGCAGACTCAAGTTGAACACCCCACGAAAGACGAGGCAGAGTGAAATACTTTCTTTTCACCAGATGGCGCTGCAAGAACACGAAATCTTTTCCTCGGGGTCCGACTCTGTAAAGGCAGGCTAAGCGCGGAAACTGTAGTATTAGTCGGGCAACAAGATGGAAGGGAACCCGCAGCCGTGCTTGCGACTCGGCGACCAATTTCTTTGTGCTTACGGCAAGCCTGCCACCCGGGGTTCAGTCTAGTTGGTGACGAGCCGCATACAAATCCTGACACTGAAGCTGATAGTACAGGGGCAAAAAATATTAGTAAGACGTTCTAGAAGTCTGTAAGAAATGCAGTGACGGGTTGTCGACATTTAGTATTAGCTGGAAGTAGATTTTTAGTTGTGATTATTTATTTAGAATATGAACCTTGCAATATCACTTGACAGAGTGGGGTTAAAAGATGCTACTTTAACGGTGTAAAGTGTTCATTTCAGATCAGATTCTCCTGTCTGATAGAGTGATGTTAACACCTTGTCAACCTGATTAGACAGTTAAGTTCGGCACTTATTTATATGGAGATGCGTGACGTAATAACCACGTGACTTCACTATCTCTTAGGTTGAGGCCTTAGTGTTGGCAGAACGACGTGCCGAGTATGATGAACGGATCCCTCTATGAGGATAGCCCGAGCAGTCGGCCAACTTTGGAAGCGGTGCCGTCAAGCCAGTCTGTTCCTCTCCACATTCCCGCCAAGAGAATTGCAAACGGTTTACCAGTATATCCAGAATATAATGTGGAGAACACGACTTCCGTAATCCGACACGGACCTAGTGGTCAACCGTGGGCCTATACCACAGAAAGTCATACTGTTTTCGACCCCCACCCTCAGTACAATCAGACTTTGTGTAACGCCCCAACCTACTACTATAATGAACACCCAGTCAGGACGGTGGGCCCGGCAGATAGAAAGCCAGCTATTAAGTTCTGGACGAACACTTACGACCGAACGTCCCCGGGATCCAGCGGCGTGGCTTCTATGGACTCGTATCAGAGTTTTGCTCCTCAGACTTGGTGTGGCTATACTCCATACCATACTCGAATGCCCGGCCATATGGAGCCCCATACACCCCAACACGTGCCATATCTTGCTGCTGATGACCGAGGACGGGACAATTTCCCTTACCCTGACACCTATGGATTTCGAAACTTCGGCGGAGTGGAAACGCGCGGCCCAACGCATTACTTCCCTGAAGGTATAGTAACGGTGTTTCTTTAACGTTTGTTAGGGTTACAAAAAACTTCTCTCGACCAAGTTGATACTATGCTAAATTATCGGTCTACTCTCTTATATTGTTAGGTGTATTTATATATATATATACTTCGGGGTGTGTGGGTGGGTGGGAGAGACTATTTTATGTGAGACCACGACGTGGGGACTTTTCGAGCTTTCAACGGGCCCAGAAATCGTGAAAGCGGGACGTAGAATGACTGCCGCGAAAGTTACGTTTAACTGGCTTGAAGGTAATTATGTTTCTAATATTTCTTTTTACATGTACTGAAACGGATCCTTGCTACATGTTACAAATTCTTTCCGTCTGCTTTTACCGTAGCATCTCGTGCGACTTTCGACACATTCAACTTGATAGGAATAGCATCGCGTCTATGGCAGTTACTCTCATCTAGGTGAAAGTCTTCCATACCATGTGGAAGTACTTTCACCTAGATGAGAGTATGCCAGTGGAAGACTTTACCTAGATGAGAGTATACCTGTGGAAGACTTTCATCTAGATGAGAGTATACCTGTGGAAGACTTTTACCTAGATGAGAGTATACCATTGGAAGACTTTCACCTAGATTAGAGTATACCTGTGGAAAACTTTCACCTAGATGAGAGTATACCTGTGGAAGACTTTCACCTAGATGAGAGTATATCTGTGGAAGACTTTCACCTAGATGAGAGTATGCCAGTGGAAGACTTTCACCTAGATGAGAGTATACCCGTGGAAGACTTTCACCTAGATGAGAATATGCCAGTGGAAGACTTTCACCTAGATGACAGTATACCTTACAGATTTATTATTCCTTTCATAATATTTATATTTTAATCAAATGAGGGAACGTTTCAGTTGTGTCATTGGACTTTTAATTTCAAACACTGTGAAAATGAGGGAACGTTTCAGTTGTGTCATTGGACTTTTAATTTCAGACACTGTGAAAATGATGGAACGTTTCAGTTGTGTCATTGGACTTTTAATTTCAGACACTGTGAAAATGAGGGAACGTTTCAGTTGTGTCATTGGACTTTTAATTTCAAACACTGTGAAAATGAGGGAACGTTTCAGTTGTGTCATTGGACTTTTAGTTTCAAACACTGTGAAAATGAGGGAACGTTTCAGTTGTGTCATTGGACTTTTAATTTCAGACACTGTGAAAATGAGGGAACGTTTCAGTTGTGTCATTGGACTTTTTAAGTTCAGACACTGTAAAAATGAGGGAACGTTTCAGTTGTGACAAGTACTTTAACGACTATTTTAGTATTTTTCCAGATTTTTTTATTATTTATTGTTGTTGTTATTGGGTGTTTTAATGTAAATCTACACTATGGGCTATCTGCACTCTGTTCATCGCGGGGAATCGAACCCCGGATTTTAGTTTTGAAAGTTCGGAAGATTACCGCTGACCCACCATTGGACTCTTAGTATTTATGAAGCACTTTAAAAAAAGTAATTTCGTCACATTTCCACCAGAGGGCGTTCAGTTGAGCTTTAAAGAATGAAATGAGAACGTTACTGCTTGCGTTTAACATGTTTGTTATGTTGTCTTGGAGATATAATGTTAACATGATTGTTATGTTGTCTTGGAGATATAATGTTAATATGCTTGTCACGTTGTCTTGGAGATATAATGTTATCATGCTTGTTACGTTGTCTTGAAGATATAATGTTAACATGTTTGTCACGTTGTCTTGGACATATAATGATTTTCTATCTCCTGATCGTTAGTAAGTTAGTCTTGGACATATAATGTCAACATTATATCTCCTGATCGCTAGTAAGTTAGTGTTGGACATATAATGTTAACATTATATCTCCTGATCGTTAGTAAGTTAGTCTTGGACATATAATGTTAACATTATATCTCCTGATCGTTAGTAAGTTAATGTTGGACATATAATGTTAACATTATATCTCCTGATCGTTAGTAAGTTAGTCTTGGACATATAATGTTAACATTATATCTCCTGATCGTTAGTAAGTTAGTGTTGTTGGTTAATTATCAACTCAGTTATACCTGAAAATGTGATTAATTCCAAATTAAGTCCTAACACGTGTTCTCAGTTTAACAGAGGGCGTGACCGTCTTTTTAGCAGCAAAAGTTTTAAAATGTTGAAGGAGTGAGGTTCGAAGATTAATTTACTTACTACACGAACTTTAGAATACATTCATTTTAAACAAAGTGATCGAAAATTCTTGAATTAAATCCTGAACTTTAATAAACTTTCTTTTACAGTTTCATTCAATGGAGAATCTTTTACTGGAAATCCTTTGGACTGTTCGGGAACTATTACAGTTAGAAAGAAAAGAAAACCGTATTCAAAATTTCAGACACTTGAATTGGAAAAAGAATTTTTGTTTAATGCTTATGTATCAAAACAAAAACGATGGGAACTGGCTCGTAACCTGAATCTGACGGAACGGCAGGTCAAAATTTGGTTCCAGAACAGAAGGATGAAGAACAAAAAGAATGGGCAAAGGAGTGGAGACAACCAGAACCAGAACACCCAAGTGAACGCTAATACAGAGGTTGTTCCAAACATAGCCAAATAAAAGTTCGAATATTTCAAAATTAACGTCAGATTCGTGTCGTCAGACCTAAAACTAAGCGAAAAAATTTGAAAAAAAAATTCAAATTAGTTTGAATAACGTGTGGTAAGAAGATGCGTTGAGTTGAAAATCTGGGAACACGAAACCCACAGATTATAACCTCTCTACTTATGTTTTCCAGCGAATTTTCAACTATAGCTAAACCTCCCGCTTTCGTTTTCTTGTGGTCTGAAATATATGAGTTTCAAAAGAAGATTTTGAGGTTGAGATTTTGTTCAAAATACCAGAAAATTAGCTGCAAATTTCCAAACGATAGAAAACGAATTTTACTTAGAGAAGTATTTAAAAACAACTACAAGAGTTTGAAAGATGTTGACAGACGGTCTGGGTTGTATAATCTACCTCATGAGCCAAGATTACAAATCGCTATTTTTTTTGTTTGAAGATATTCAATATGTATATTTAGATCTTTTTAAGTTATGTGTTTCAGTATTTGAAATCTAATGAGAAACAGTGTTTATATGATTTTATCACAACTTTAAACGTTATTGAATAAAAAAAATGGAGGTTCGAGATAATATTTGTCTTTCAGTTAGATGAAGAGTTGGGAGCTTTGTGAATGAGGAATTGTGTAAGATGTTTTAGTGCTAAGCAAAAAAGAACACCTTCATTTGTCCTTCGTTGTATTCTTTATTGAAGTTTTTATTTTCAGACGCAGTGACCTGTCCTAGTCACGGGAAGAGGTAGTGAACAACCCTGGATTCTGTCACTTTGTGTGTTGTTGTTTATTATTAAGCACAAAGGGCTATTTATACTCTGCCCACCACTGGTATCGAAACCCGGTTTCTAGCGGTATAAGTCAGCAGACATACCGCTGTACCACTGAGGGGCCACTTTGTGTGCACTATGTGTGTGTGTGTGTGTGTGTGTGTGGTCCATGAAGGACATTACAATCTCGCTACACACGAGTAAGAAAGACATGTGGATAGAGCACGTGACCAGATGTCACTAGTTTGTTCCTCATGACATTAACACCAGGGTACGCTGTGGTAGTGGCCATTAATGTGTTAATACCACATTTTACGTAATAAACGATTGTCTTTCTGTTGCTTCTTTACATTCATTGAACTTGTATTTTCACCTTGTTGTCTTGTTTTCAAGTGTGTTGTAACAGCATAAAAGTAGAGCACGTGCAATTTTATAATTTCACCTTCAAATTTGGAGTTTGTTTTTGAGTGATACATTGAGTACAGACTCGAGCTATACAGAGTAACTGTCGCTTCATCTGTACTGTGAAAGGAATTTAATAAACGTTGTTCAATGTATTATTTTTCAAGTTATATTTATTTAACTAAGTTACAATAATAATAACGTTTAAAGTTTTAATTTCGAACACTTGGTTTGGAAGAAGGTACGATCCAGTTGCAAGTTATATTTATTTAACTAAGTTACAATAATAATAACGTTTAAAGTTTTAATTTCGAACACTTGGTTTTAGAAGAAGGTACGATCCAGTTGCATGGAAAACATTTTATTTATATATATATATATAAATTATTATATTCAAACAAAACTAATAAAAGAAAAGTAATTTTCAGAACACACTCATTTAAAGCTTTTGTGTCAGCAGATGGCAGGCCCATCGCAGCTTTTATCTTAATAATTGCGAGTAGCTAGCTAACAGTTAGGGTACGCGGGAATTGCTAATATATAACCGTGCGCATGCGTTGGTAGAGAGAAGACCGTGAATGGACGTCTCTGTCGATGAGCGTTGTGTTTTATTTTGTAGCGTCAGCAAAATGAAATAGAGGAAAGCGGAAAGGGACGAGAAACGTATAACCAAGAGGGAAGAAGCTGGGAGGGAATGGCTGCGGCCCCCATCTTGTAATCCACTTTCACCTATACTTCAGTAAGCTATAATACTGAAGTCTTTCAAGTTCGCCATGGAGACAGAGATTTTTCTATCCACAGAAGAGCGAATTACCTAACAACTCCATGTTGGTATTCATTACTTTTGTACTGTTAACATTGCAGGCTTTGGGATCGTAGCATAAGAACGTGGGGTAACTTAGTTTAATGACAAAACTTTTGCGAAAACAAACGTTCGATTTGAAATTAAACACAAACATGTGCTAATAACTTCCATGGTTTATTAACACGAATCAACATTTCTGTTCACAACACACGAATTAATGAATCCTGACAGTTATCTGAATATGTTATGCTAACACACACAAATATGAGATTTATTAACACGAATCAACATTTCTGTTCACAGCACACGAATTAATGAATGCTGACAGTTATTTGAAAGTGCTATTTTAACACACACAAACATGAGATTTATTAACACGAATCAACATTTCTGTTCACAACACACGAATTAATGAATGCTGACAGTTATTTGAAATTGCTATGTTAACACACACAAATATGAGATTTATTAACACGAATCAACATTTCTGTTCACAGCACACGAATTAATGAATGCTGACAGTTATTTGAAAGTGCTATGTTAACACACACAAATATGAGATTTATTAACACGAATCAACATTTCTGTTCACAGCACACGAATTAATGAATGCTGACAGTTATTTGAAAGTGCTATGTTAACACACACAAATATGAGATTTATTAACACGAATCAACATTTCTGTTCACGGCACAAG